CTCTTTGGCCTCTAATCCTAGATAGTTGTTTTACCATTCCTGAGACTCTTTTTGCATCTATTGTTTGATGGATGCCTTGAAAAATTTCTTAGCAACTCAACAGAAAGGTTCAGGGCATTTCATGGCCTTATCGTACTACTTCGTCGATCTTTTCATTGCCATGATATCCTTCGTGGTTTGCTACTCAAACTAAGGTCACTTTATTTTGATTACTTAGTTCTATCAGATCTTCTAGGCAGTCGTGAGAATGAGATAACTCCCTATAGAGCTGCTTAGCTATCACAGTAGATGGCAATAGTTTTGCCTGAAACTTGCTGAATTATTATTTCTCTTGCATATTTCTGTTGTTTAAACATATAATTGTTTTGGATAATTTTAATTTGAATCAACAATGGCATGTTCGATAACGGAAATAATATATATGTACCTATATATTTTATAAAATGCGAGTGAAAACTCAATTTCAATTTTAATTAATTAATAATTACTGAATTGTAAATAATATAAATTCACATTAAGAGGAGTATTTACTTGACATCAAAGCATAACTTATTCATCATTATTCGAGTAATAGTTGATTTTGTATCAGGTATTCCAAAAATTATGAATCTATAAATATACAAAACCGAATATCTAGCGTTAAATCGATAACATTTTTGACTGTTATTAATTATATTAAAATGTTAATATTATAATATTTTATCTCGTAATATTGCAAAATTTTCAACATTACTATTTTCTTTTTATTAATGTATTATATTTTCACGGAAATACTTTTTCTACCAATTAGAAATTATTTTCATATACGATCCCGCATTCCACAATTTAATACATGGGCATAAAATAACAGCGATTTGCCGATTTTATCTAAAACTTCTGAATGTTTTAATTTTTATAGAATTTGTTTTAATATAAATATGCCAAATACAAATTTAAATCCAGATTACACCTATGTTAAATACTAGTTATTAACATATTCTGGACACTTCAATATATCACTTCTACGTACTAGGTCCCGATTGTCTAAAAGGAACGAAAACGAAAGAAACGATGTACCCCCATTGAAGGCCGGAGGTTAACACGCTGCAGGAGGGAAACTCCTATGCTTATGAGCAAGACTTGGGTAGCGTTAAAATCGCAAGTGCTCATTAATCAGAATCGATTTTGCAAAAATGTGTTTACAAACCAATATTTAGCCTTTGAGTATAGTAAAAAAAATAATTACCTACATTTTTACTTCAAGGCACATGCTTATGTTTATTTTGAAAAATATGGGTGATCAATCTATGTAAGTATCTATTTCATTGACCTTGTCAAATCACCAGGCCTACAGGGTTGCCATAATTTTGTTATATCATAACCTCACTGGTAGCCATTTTGTTTGGAATGCCTAATAATAAAAGACATGGCCAACTAGTTGTAAGTAAAAAATGAATGAGTAATAATCTTAGATAAATAAACAAATATTTGTAACTAGCATCTTCCCTCACTATATAGCAGTGGTTACACGACTTGATTGGATATTCGCTATTTTGGTTACACACCTGATTGGTTAGCAAAAAATTGACAGGAATACGTTAGTTAGATTAGTTATTTTATGGTAATTTTGTGGTTCATTTTGAGTTTATTTCGTACTTTAATTGAAAAATTTTTGTGGTTTAAGTTATTTTGGAGCATTAAATTGCTTTAAAATGCCAGTGAAGTGCTCGAAAAAGTATCTCAATTTCAGTTCGATAACGTTTCATAGGTAAGTAAATAAAAACCATTACCGTTGCATCACACTTTTTTGAGGGGTATCATAATTCAAAATAAGGTTTAAACAACAATTTATTTTAAAGTTTAAAATAACATTCAACGTCGAATTTTGAATTATTTTATTGTGCATGTATTTAATAACTTTGAATTTATTAAAAGGCTATCTTTAAATTAAAGTTATATTGTTAGGCACACTGTACATTTAAGAAGGCTCTAGTCACTAGAGTCTAGTGGCATTCACTTTAGTTAGAAAATCTTAGTATTGCTTTATTTTAATGACAAAATATATTGTTAGAACACCATAGTTATTTTAAAGTATAGTATGTTTCATTCTGTATTACATGAAATCCTACCTACCTATACGAATAAGAAAACACTATTTATACCTATTTCCAAAAGATCCTCAAACTAGATATATGTGAATGAAGAGCTTGGGTATACGTGAGGATGAAGTGGGTGTATTCAGTAGAATTTGTTCAAAACATTTTGAGGATTCTGGCTTTGCTAAGTCTCCAGGAGGAAAAATGTTTATAATGAAAGGAGTAATGCCCTCATTTTACTCACATCCTGAAGCTGTTCCTCAACTGGAAACTATGTCACATTCTAAACTATAACTGAAACTAAGTGATTATTTGAACAAAAACTATAAATAATAAAAATGTTTCTTTGTCTATGTCTAATTAATGTCTAACTAATTTAAATATTCTAAGTATTAGTACGGAAACCAATAAATTTTGTAATTTTTTAATTACCTATTCATGCTATTTTAATAACTACAATAATATATGTAATTATTATGATATGTTTTCTTATTGTCTAAATTAGAAAAGGTTTCATTTTCTCAAGTGAATGTGTATTATATTTACTTATTATATAGTTACACGTCACATAATTAATTTAATTTGTAAATTGTGTAGTAGGATAATGGTTGCCAGTATCGCACCATCCTGGAAATATCTAATTCGTATTCTTGGAGACTCCTCTCGTTTCTGCTTACGATCCTTTAACTGTAATCGGTTTACCTGCTCCAAGTGATCGTGTGTAATCTGGTTTTTAAGTCTTTCAAAGTCATCCGTTTTTTCCACAGGTACAGTCTGAAGAACATCTAAAGCATCCCCTTGAAAGGCGATAGTCACATTTACTGACTTTTCTCGTTCAAACTGTTTTAGGTAACTGATCCACGACGAGATTAAAAAAGAATTGGGCAGTAGAAAAACCGATAATTGTAACAATCTATTGGGGCTGAGACAGGCTAAGATACTTCTGGGTGAATATAACCAGAAAAGATCGGAAGCCTGCATCTGCCTGAGCAAGAGCAGGCTTTGTATTGTAACAGGGATCCTTACCGGGCATTATCGACTAAAAGGACACCTTAGTAAACTGAGAGTAGTAGAGGGTAATGAGTGCAGATTCTGTGAGGAGGAGGACGAAACCTCCATTCACATTCTAACTGAATGTGTAGCACTCCAGAATCCAAGGGCACTATACCTTGGAGGATATCAAATAGAAGAGAGAGAGAGAGATTTACCTAACATGAAGCCACTCTAAATCCTACACTTCCTTGAGAAGATAGGATTGGAAGGGTCATTATAGGCATTGAGACATTTCCTTGGTGCATTAGCGACAGAAGGGGACACAATAGATCTTTTAGGTCGCAGTATAGTAACACGCCATTCCCAACATAACATCTCAAGTGAATGTATATTATATTTACTTATATTATCTAGTTACACGTCTCATAATTAATTTAATTTGTAAATTGTGTGGTAGGAAAATTGTTGCCAGTAAAATGGGTTTTATTTATCTGTAGTTAATGAATATTAGTTTTAGTTATCTAGGTACCTGTCACATAATTATTTGATTTATAAATTATGTGGAAGGAAAATTGTTGGCAACAAAATTATTATTATTATTATTATAATCACCCCATTATCCATTAATAATTGTTATTAAACCAAATGAGTACAATAACACAACGTCTCTACAAAATTGCTTAACGTTGTTCTATTTCTAACTGACAAGAATTCATCGAAATTAAGTTTTAAAAGCCAAAATGTTTGAATTTATCATTCAAAATATTATGTATTAGAAAACCTTGGCAATATTTTAAAACAGTAATTATGAACTTATCACTTATTATATAAGTATCGCTTTATTCTAAACTGTTATTATAACATTTGTCTTTGTTTTGTTTTCCAGATCTAACCCAACTATTTAATAAAATTAATTACATAGGTTATTATATTAACCCTACTTTCCCAATTATTAAAAACCATATATATTTTGTGCACAAAATTTAATTAACTTAAAAGGGACTAACAATAAACAGATACTTTATTCTATTTTTTATTACATATATAAGCGGTACTCATAATAAATCAATAAAAATAATGTACAAAAGAACAATATTATTAAAACATATTAGTACAAAAATTTAGAATTTATAAAACCTATCATTCCAACGTTTATTCGAATTATTTGTGTATAAAAATAATGTATGTTTTTAATTTAAAAAATATATGTATTGGTCTACTGAAAAATTCATTTTTGACGGTTTTCTATAAACATCTCATATTAGAAACATTGATACATTGAAATATCTTAAAACTAATAAAATAATATAAATCAAAAGCATTTCATTGACGTTTATTTGATACGCTACTTGATAATAAAAGTAAACAAACCCCGCTCTTCCCCTCCTAACAACTGGCTTGTATATGTTGCTTTCAAACAAACGCAATGTAAATTTTTGACATTCAGTTGGCTATTATTATTTATTTATCTGAGGTAATAATACTATGTTGTACTCGTACATACCTGTACCACAGTTTATAGCTAAAGAATCAGTTCGCTCACTCTGCGTCAGCACTTTTGATCTCAATTTTCCAGTTTATACACTGCGCAACTCGGATTTGTATCCCTGGCGCATACAGAATCAAATCATAACCAATACAATATATGACAACCGCCTATATTCAAACAGCAGTCTTCTGCGCATCCTGAATTTGTGTCCCAGGAGTGCATATTATTTTGGAACATTCAACTGGTCCAAGTGAGCTAACTGATTCTTTAGCAATAAACTGTGCCCTTACATAACTTTTTTTTTAAGGGAAAGCGCGCTTTGATTGACAAAGTTAGATATACTCGTATTTGCTTTGAGACTGAAACAAAAAAATACCGACCCATTAATAACAGTCCACTACTGAAGCTGTTGTAAAAATTATTCTTCGTAAAACCAAACCGACATGTTTCGAAAACCAAAGATTAAAGACCTATTCGAAATGTTTCCCATACCTCTCACAACAATTGTTCGACAAACGAAAAGTGCAGAAAACGGGAAAAACGATGTCGACAAAAAACAAATTTTACAACAAGTTAACGAATGAATTTGCCGGAAAAAGTTCCGGTCGGAATCGATTTTCTGTAAGATTAATTACAATTGTGAGCCTTTGGGGAAGTTCCAAACAGGACCGTAGGGCTTGTAGAGATGCACGAAAACCCATCTGTCAATCAGTCATGGCCGTCTTGGACGGAGGCTATCGGTTATTGGAATTCAGGAAGATACATTGTTACGGAGAAGATGTCAAATATGTGTCAGAAGAGATATGGAATACGTTATCACTGTCGATGCAAACCCACTATTTAATTTACATATTACACTAGACTATACGTAGTTTATAATATAACAGAGAAAGTAGAATATTTGTGACAATAGGTAAAATTAATTAAAAAAGAATGCTTGTTATTTAAGACAACTATTTCAAATAAGAACGAAAGATTTATCCGGCGGAGACGAGTGGACACCCAACTCTTAAGTTTATACATACATTCATTGAAGTCTTATTCAAATTTTAAATAGCATACATTAAGAAAGGAAGTTTCGCTAATTATAAAAAGATATACAGGGATTTCATTTCAAAACTAGCTACCCAAAATAATTTTAAAATATCTTTAAAACAAAAAAACACGTTAATTTATATTTACGGGGGGACACATTTTACAAGTGTCTGTAACCGTGCAGTTTCATCTCCTAAGCGGTGGTGAATATCACTTCTAAAATTTTAAATAGAAAGGGGTATCATGTGATAGCTCTTCTTAAAGGTCTCTTTTTTTCCAATCTTTTGACACATTATTTTTTTAAATCGGATTAATTTTTCACCAAGTTATAACCTAGAAACCGGAAAAAAATATTGAATTAAAATGCATGAGTATAAATACCGAGATAAACAAGTTAGCAAAAAGCCTTAAATGTTTTTTGCGTAAGATATTTTTGACCGTAAATTAAAACAATTTATTATTAGTAGATTACTGGTTTCGTTGTGTACTGACAATTTAATTTTGACAATGGTTTATTCTTTACAAGAAAGAATTGAAATAATCTTTATTTATGATGAAGAACAACGCTGTGCACGCAGAACTGCTCGTGTTTTTAATCAGAGACATCCCGATAAAAATGTTGGGCATCAGTATGTGTTGGATTTAGTTCATACATTTCAAGAAACTGGAAGTGTGTACAATAAAATTGTAAGGAATCGTAGAGTTTAAACTGAAGCTGCACAAGTTGAGATTTTAGGTCATTTTGCCATGGAACCTCAAACATCAATACCAAAAGTCTCCAGATTAACAAATATTTCCGTTGGCTCTGTGCATAAAACGTTTCGGCTAAACAAATTCTTTCCTTACAAAATATAGCTTTTACAACAGCTTGCTGAGGATGATTATGACAGAAGATTAGAATTTTGCGAATTAATGACTCAAAGGGCAAATGAAGAGCATAATTTTATTAAAAATATTTGTTTTACTGACGAGGCAGGTTTCTTTTTAAATGGATTTGTCAATAAACATAATTGTAGGTACTGGGACAATACAAATCCACATGTTTTTCGGGAAGAGCACAGCCAATGTCCTCAGAAAATCAACGTATGGGCCGGAATTCTTGGTAATAAAATTATTGGTCCTATTTTCATGAAGGAATATTTAACTGGGGAATTGTATTTCAACTTATTAGAAAATCTGATAAATCCTCTTATAACCGAATCCTTAGAAAACCAAATAGATTAAGATGGAAATTTGTTACTAGACGAAGAAAACCTATTTTTTCAACAGGACGGAGCACCTCCACATTATGCCTTGCCTGTACGAAATTGGCTTAATGAGACATTTCCAGATACATTGATCGGAAGAAGGGGCGCTATAGAATGTCCAGCGAGATCACCAGACCTAACGCCCCTTGACTTTTTTTATGGGGACATCTAAAAACTGTGGTGTATAAAACTCAACCTCGCGATACTCCTGAACTTAGACGTAGAATAGTGGAGGAGTCTGAGCGGATTACACCAGAGACGCTTCAAAAAGTGCGGGATGAATTCGAGATGCGACTTTACCATTGCCTTGCTAACAATGGCGGATATTTTGAACGTCTTATTTAAGTACAATGTAATTCTTACGCAAATAAAATATAAATAATGTAAATAATTATTATTTTAATTTAAAAGGTTAAAATGGCATAACTTGGTGAAAAATTAATCCGATTTAAAAAAATAATGTGTCAAAAGATTGGAAAAAAAGAGACCTTTAAGAAGAGCTGTCACATGATACCCCTTTCTATTTAAAATTTTAGAAGTGATTATTTTAACCGAAGATAGTTAACGTACACCGAAACAATAATGTAATATTTGTGATATTAGAGTAACTTTCTTAAAGATAATAAATATTTGGAGTTAATTTATAATACTAGAATTTGTTTTTAATTTAAACTCATTAGATAATCTTTAGAGAAGAACATTTTCGTGAAATTAGGAGTATTTTTTATAGAAACTAGTAAACATTTGTAAAAATAGATTGTACTTTGTATGGAAATAAACTAATATATACAAATAATGATGGTAGGTCGGGTTATCCGGGTTTTCCTCACCTGCAAATAAAATGGCACTATCGGTTATCTTTAAGTCGGCCCAGAGTGCCATAGCAAATAATAATAACTATTCTTGCCACTCACAAGCTCTTCTTGGGGTTTAACTCATGTAGGGTGAAGTGTAGGAAAATCTATTATTATTGTTGTATTGCCATTAATTTGATTTATTTTTCTTGGGAATTTTTAGTAAATATAATAATATAAAGCTTTGTATGGAATTTATTTTACACTTCATAATTATATATCATAGAATTTTACATTTTTATTGGCATTTCATAATTCATAATAAAAAAGCAAAATTAAAATTAACAGGAAAATTTACTTTAGCAATTATCTTTTTCCAACCAATACAAAATAGAGTAGATTTCTACATGACACAGAGTACCAGCCCTGTATTGTATTTCCAGTTAATATAGTCGATAATATATTAACAAAAATATTATTCGGACACCTCACAAAGTATTAAAAAATTTACCACAGTAATTTAATTATAAATAGTAACAAAATATATAAAAAAAGGTTTAAATAAACTCACCTCTAAATATAAAATCAAATATATTTTAATTTTTTTCATTGTATGCAATAATATTAATTATATATTTTATATCCTTGTTTTTTATTTTTATTTATTTAACAAAATTATTAATTTTTTTTTTGTAATCGGCATCAAGTGCTACGGTTATTAGCCTCGTGTTTTGTGTAGGCTTTGTTACTGTTTCCCAGCGCCACTTTAGGAACAGCACTGTTAATTAGTACCCAAAAGTGAATGGTCAAGTGGGGAATCCTACCAAGGCATCAGAATTAATTTTAAATAATGAAATTAAATGAAAAAATCCCAGCCAACCGTGGGATTCGAACCTGGGACCCTTGGATCCGCAGGCAGAGACTCTACCACTGAGCCACCCACCCCGTTAAAATTATTAATTAATCACATTATTATTATTTGTAATTTATTAAATATTGAATTTGCTAATTTGTATCGAAAATAGATAGATTTAAACTCATATACCAAATAAACCTTTCCTAGCCTTCATATTCCAATACATCTATGGAGTCCAGAATTTTGAAAAAAAAAAGCAACCCTGTTACATATTTGTTAGGGAAATTAATAATAATTTTAATAAATAAGGCAGGTTTTGAACAGCAGTTATAATTAGTTTTGTAATTATGGCATGCTTGCGAGCACCTGAGTTCCACAATATTGTCCCTGCCCTAAACACACCCTTCAGTGTCTCCAGGAATGCAAAAAGGATTCTATAGCCGTATACCAAATGTGGCATAGATGCGTTATTCACATACCTAAACGTTTAATATATGCATAGATAATAACGGGGTGGTACCTGGTAGAAATTAATCAGAAATACATATATGTTTTTTACATAATAAATATTATATTTATCCTGTTTTTATATAGTATGCAGTTTATCTAGGAGTGACTATTGACTTAAAATGGGACTATACTATGAAGACTAGAGATAAGGAGGCGAATCGGCAGCCTTGGTCAAATTTTAAATTTCCGTCCCTATTTTTATGGAGTTCCAAAAAACTACTGTAATTGGCGGGTGGCAAAATAACGACGTCTATTTTTTATGCAAGTCAATGGGAATTAAAGTGATTTTTGTAAAATTTAGTGAAAAGAATAAAAATAAGCTGAAATAAAGAACCTGACTACAAGTAACAATGAGTAACAAAAAAACAACAAAGCAGGATTTGCTTCGTTCCGGGTTGCAAAACGGGATATAAATCCGATATAAAATTAAAGAAATCACAAGGAGATAAAAATCCAAGTCTATTTAAAGCTCCTAGTGTAAGTAAAATATTGTATTTATTTCTAAATAATATATATTTATTGTAAAATAGTCACAACCCGTATCTTACGGAGTGTAGTTTATTTAATTACAAAATTCTATAATAAAAAATAGTAAAGTCATATATCCTGACTTACAAACAACAATAATTACACATTAAATTTAACTTACTAGAAAAGAAAATTTGCTTTTTTTAAGATTTTTGATGTTAGATGAAGAGATACTACTCTTATTTTTCTTTATTGAACTCCAATTTAGTCATTGCAAATATTTTTTATAGGATCCTAAACGTTTAGATCAATGGCAGCATGTGATTCCTAGACCTGATAAAGTACTGTCTAGTTATGATTCTGTTTGCGAGCTACACTTTTTAGAAGATGATATTTTAAAATTTGATGAGACTATTTTAACTAATTGTACTGTTAACAAAATAAAAAGGGAAAGGCCGAGATTAAAGAATGAAGCAATACCATGTATATTCCTGAATCTACCTTCATACTTGTCCAGTATTAGGAAAAGACGAAAACCACCATTGAACCGAACTGAATTTGTTAAAATAAAAAAATGGAAGAAAATACTAGAACCTATTGCTGAAGAAACTATTCACCAGGATGATGAAATTGTAGTTGTTGACGTAGAAGATCAAATTTTTGAACGTTTGAAAGATAATTTGAGTCTAATTTGCACACCAAATGAACAGTGGTCAGGTACCTTTATTCCTGGAAAAAATGATGTAATTTTTGTTGAATGGGATGAAACATACACTCCAACTAAAAAAATTGTGATACACCAGGATATGTCTTTTAAGGTAAGTTATTTAAAATTTGTTGTACATAAGAACAATTCAATATGCACCAAAGTGCTACCTGTGCTCTTTTAGATTCTATTTCGAAAAACTGAAATTTTCCTACCAGATACAGTTACAATAATAAAAAGTTTTCAAGAACTTGAAGATTTATTAGGATCCATAAATAACATGCCAATGTGTACAGGTACTACAGTAGCAAGGTAGTTACCATGTTAAAGTTCTTTGTCACAATTACTTCTACCTATTTTCTTGATAAAACGTATATTTTATTAGCAGTAAATCTTCTCAAAGCAATTGTTTAATTTTTAAAGGTTGTGGTTTTCACTCATTATCATATATCAAATGTATTTTCTAACATACCTTATCATTGGGAATGTAAATGTAGTTTCAAATGCTAATATTAGGTGAACCCTGGATACTATTTTCATAGTGCATGTTTTAATTGTCTTGCAAGCATTAATTTAGTCACTAAAGTTAACATTGTGCGTTTCTATGTACTCTTTATGTTTCATGTAAAAGTTACTTAAGTGCTTCTATTGTTCTTATTTATTTTTATATTATAGTGCATCTGAATCTTGCTCTGGAATTGCTCCTGTAAAAATACCTGACCAAAAAGGCCCACTTGTAAATAATTGTTTACCATGCAAAATGAAATATGCTGGAAATAAAAAAATACTTATTAAAGAATATATATTGAGACGTCACAAGAAAATGAAAGGCATATTACACTGCGTTAAACGCAAAAATTTAAGATTAAAAGGAAAGGTAATTTGAAACATTATTGTTTTTTTTGGTAAAATTTGACTTATTTTGTTTTTATATACTGATCTGTATTGATTTTTTTTATAGATAACAAAACTTAAAAGTGAAATAAAGGAAAACAAAAAAAAGTGTGCAATAATATCCTCTGAAACTATAGAGGAAAATATATCAGATCTACCAACCACTCAACAACAAGAAGCAGTTCGGATGTGTTTTGCTGCAGCAAAAATATCAAATCCAAAAAATAGACGATATACTCTTGCATGGATTTATGAATTCTTACTGATTAGAATAAAAGGAAGATCAGTTTGAGCATTTAAGGCGGCAAAAATTGTTGCCACTTCCGTGTATTGAAACCCTTAATAAATGTATTAATAAAATGAATGATGTTTCAACCATTCAGAGGGTCTTGGGTTCAATCATTGGCATGTTTTTTAAGCAAAGGATGTGCATCTGTCGCGAGCTGCATCATCTAATTATCGAGTGCATAAATTTGCTGCACAAAACAGGATTTTCCGTTGATGTAGTGACAACCGATGGCGCTTCGTGGAATAGAGCAATGTGGAAAAAATTTAACATTTTCAAAAGTAATGTGTCTTGTCAGCACATATGTGATCCTTCCCAATAACTATGGTTTTCTTCCGATTTTACTCATTTAATTAAAAATGTCAGAAATTTCTTTGTTCAAAAAAGTGAGACTTGGGTAGGAAGTGTAATTTTACTTAGCATAATGTTTAAAAATAATCAAAACGAGTTTTTATTAATTCCAGACTCCTGATGGTATTGCAAAAATAAGTCACTGGGATACGATAATATAAATGGACCAGCCAAGTAGTCTGTATTTAAAAATTTGTCCCAAACTTAGCAAGGATGATGTTCATCCTAAACATTACCAGAAAATGAATGTTGGTATAGCTTATCGAGTATACTAATATAAATGAATAAAAAGTAATAAATTAATAGTGTTTATTTTAGTTTTTTAGTGAAAAGACTGCAGCAGCTATGGAAATTTACAAAAATTCAAATTCAAATTTAGATGACTGTGAACCCTCAGTAATTTTGATTAAACGTTTCGCGACACTTATCCAGATTATGAGTTCATGAACACCTTGGGATCGAACTTTAACACAAGAATCAGAAGAAGAACAGGTTTAATAGCATTTAGGTCCATTTGCACTGCTAGTCGTTAAGAAATTAGCGAGGCCTAATATTAAATTTATCCTATTACAAAAATGTCATGTTATTCTTCGCGTATTTCTTAATGACTAGCGGTGAAAATGGATGTTACTTTTCTGTTTTAATTTTGCTGATTTTACTTTTTTGCAGTTCATTAGGAATTTTTTATTTTATTTAGATGAATGGAAAGAATCCACAAAAAAAATGTGTACTTTTATCTGATAATACTTTCTATGGTCTAGTAGTAACTTTAAAAACTACTTTAGAGGTCATGAAATTCTTGTGTAACAAGCACGGATACCAATATTAAATGACAGCCAAGCTCAATCAAGATAATTAAAAAGTAAGTTAGTTATAATATTACTTACTCATAGTCACTTATAAGTATTGCTATTTTTCAGCGTTTCTTTGGAATGATGAGATCTGCTTGTGGTTCCAATGACCATCCTGACTCGAGGCTTTTTATTCAAATGTTTCATTTAATTAGCACCTATTCACTAGTAAAGCCACGTAAAGGTAGCAATGTCGAGGATCAGAAATGTTGAAAAGTTTAGTAAATATTGAAGAAATCGTCAGTTCAGAAGAAAATGCCTAGGAATTTCAGAAAAGTCTCGATAATATTCTGGAAAATGGCATTTTGTTTAATGATTATGTTGAACCTAATTTAAAAGATCATGACTACAATATTACAAAAACCTCTTCAGTTATTTTATCTTACGTGTCTGGATACATTGCAAGGAAAGCTACCAGATTTACAAAATGTGAAACTTGCATTCGACAATTAAAAAGTATTGATCTTCAGTCTAAAGATCAATTAATTACATTAATAAGTAAAGGGTTTTTAATATACCCTTCTCATTCTCTAATTTCTTTAATATCAATGCTGGAATCGACTATCTTAGAGGTTTTATCAATAAACCCAGTTCATCAAGAAACTCTTTTTGAAATCTTGAATAAAAGAAATGAAAGAAATGGGCATTTTATTTGTAGGATGTGATGAACACAAAGAAAATATTACATCTGCAATTATTCGCTTTTACCTAATCAGTAGAATGTATTTTATTTGTAAAAGGTGTCTACGAAAGCAATCAAAATTGTAAATATGTATTTGTAATTTAGATTTAAAAATTATGAAAATGAAAAACCCTAACCCCCCTACGAAATTATTACACCTTCATATCTCCAAAGTGACAACAGACCAAAAATTGAAAAAGCTGAGAAAAAAAGAAAGAACAAATGCCTGCACGACCGGATCTTTTCAATTTTTCTTTAATTTCTTTTCAATTTGGGGATATGAGAAAGTAATTTTCATAATTTTGTAAGGAGAATTAGAAATTTTTCATTAATTATGTTATTTAAGCGTTTTTCCACTTTTAAGAACAAATTAACCATTATTAGTTGTCGAATACAAAATTACCACAAAACTGTACTTACCAAATTTCACCATTTAACAAACCTTTTCAAATTTGGTCATAACTAATTTTCATTTTATTTAGATAAAATTAAATAATGAATAGTAAATAATGTTTAACATAAAGACTCATTTATAATTTATACCAACAGTATTTTCTGTACTGTAGTTAGCAATTAAAACAAAGACTTATTTACAATAATTAAAATCAACAGTATTTTCTGTGCTTTAGTTAGAACAATGTGATTTTTATCATCTAGCGTCTCAGATGTTAACTACATGTCTAAGTCGTTTGTAGAAAGACCAGTGTTGCCAAATATTTTTTTTGAGGGATCGTACAAGTAAATTAGAAAAATGTTATTTCGACAACAAATTGTATAATGGATACATGCATCGCATAATATAACTTAAATGGAATGAAAAAATAAAAAAAAACTTGGCATTATAATTTATTTACCTGTTTATAAAAATGTTTACAACGAAAAAAAAAAAAAATTAAAAAAATACATGAAACTTTAAATTAACACATTTAAAGTAATCAATGACTGTCACTTGAAAGTGATTGAAATTTTGCATGCAAGCTTTTCTTAAGCCGTGATAGTCGGTGTACAAAATCACCATGGTCAAAATCACGATAAATTAGAACGAAAATGACTGCCTTCAGAAATTACGAACGGCCTATGAATCATTGCAAGTAGTTTCTGATTTTTATTGTTTTATATTCAGAAGTTGTTACAGATATTTAAATAAACCTACTAAAAAAGTGAAGATCGTATTTTTACGTACGATCTCACTGATGCAATCGTACATCGTACAGAGAGTTAAAAAATCGTATAAATACGATTTAAATCGTAAGGTTGGCAACACTGAAACAGACAGTAGACGTGGACAGCAGTGGAAAGTTTGTAAATATAAATGTCAGTTAATTTTATGTATATCAAAGAATCCTGAATGTAAATTTTAAATTTAGAGTTCATGATTGTGTTATCCTCTAGATGAACTAAGCGAAATAGTTGTGGCTGTTTTCCTGTAAAATTTGAGGACAATAGTTATATTTTGTAATATTACAATAAGTCGGAGAACGTATTGCATTAGTAACACATGCCACATGAACAAATTTAACAACCTCAATGTGGCGTTCTTTAATTAACCAAAGTAGGTAAGGTCTATTCATGTAACACAAATAGTAATCAACTTTTGTTACAAAGTAGGTATTTATGTATTATTTATTGTTTTAGAACAAGAAAATGGCTTCAAAACGTTAGAAAGAAGATTTGATATAGGAAGAAAAATATATGAATTCCCATTATTGAATTTGCACTCAACATTTTTAAATAAGGCCATAAATTGGCCATTCTTTTGGAAAATAAAAACAAAAATGCAACATTTAAAAAAAAGTCATGACTATAGATTTACAATAATTAATCGATAATAGACTGTAAGTGTAGTATTCTTTTTAATAAATAATTTAGCATAACTACATTGTTTAAGTTTATTTACAAGAACATGAGAGTGCAGTCGATATTTATGCAACCTTTATTATTAGGTTTTTAAAGGACCCCGCAATAATCTTATGGAAATTGGGTTTCGGTCAAATTGTCTGAATTTTTGATATGTTGTAGATTTCGTCATCCTGAACAAAAGTCTCCATGGGCACAAATCGCCAAAATCAATATTTTGGCAGCTACAGAGCTGCCAAAGTTCCATATATCCGTTCCAAAACTATTCATTTTTAATAATATTTCCAGATGTCGAGAGCATATTTTAATTATTTAAACACATAAGGCAGCGTTTTTTGGGTCACTGAATTCAATGCTAATGTTAGATTGGAAAAATTGACAGTTGACAGTTGACAGTTGACAGTTGACACACACACACACATACATACACACACACACACCCGCACGCACGCACGCACGCACGCACGCACGCACGCACGCACGCACGCACGCACGCACGCACGCACGCACGCACGCCCGCACGCACGCAAGCACGCACGCACGCACCCACACACACACACACACACACACACACACACACACACACACACACACACACACACACACACACACACACACACACACACACACACACACACACACACACACACCACAC